GTACGAGCAATGCACTCCGAGCATCCTTGACACAAGGCTCGCACGCCCACGGAAAGAAATCCATGAGCTGGACTTCATACACTTACCAATCGAAAACGGATTGCTGCAAATTCGAAAATTGATTGCTGCAAGCACCGTGCCAGCCCTCCCCAAACCCGGCTAAGCCAGTGAGGAATTTCTGAAACTCCGAAGATGACGCCTCTCAGCTCAGCTTCGCCTGTCTCTGTGCGTGGGGCGGGACGGGTCGTTTGCCGACTGAAAGAGGATCGCGCCTGCATCAGGAAGAGGGCCAGCCCGCAAGTTAAGAGCACGTCGTAGGCTTCCCACGGCAGGCCGGTGCCTGCAGCGAGCTGCCCTGCACTGCCTGCCGACAGCGTCACTTTGGTGCAGAGGCCCAACCAACAGGGCACCAGCACCCATACCAGCATCTCCAAAGATATGTCGGAGAGGGCCGCCTCATTTTGCGAGGGTCTGGTGGTGCGCTCCTGCTCCGCTTCGGCACCTTCCGGTTGTGGGTCTTGGCTGTCGGGCGAAGGCTGCGGGGTCCGGCCGCAGGCGAATTGCAGCAGCAGCGCGGTGCTGGCGACCACCAGGCCGAACTTCGCGAGCATGTAGCTGAGCCAGAAGTCGCCGCGGTGCGGCGGCGGGTGCTGTAGTTCCGTGGCGTTCGGCCATATGGGCTCAGGCATCTTTCGCAGCCACTGCCCGGCATGCACCTTCAATCGCAAGCTTTTCAGATTCCAAATGCCTGTGTAGTTCGCGAGATGCATGTAATCCAAGAGATTCAAGTCGGGAGCTTCCATCCAGTTGGTGGCAGATTCGAAGTCCCACATGCACGCCACCGGCGTGGCCACCAGCAGAACAAGCACCAGAGCCCGGCTGAGCAGATCGCCCCGCGTCAGTTCGAACCGATCTCTGACGTGGATCTGGACGAGCTCCACGCTGAAAGTGACAGCCGCCACGAGAAACGGTGAGAGCAGCGCGGGCCACGGCCAGGTCTCGCAAATCGGGGCTGGCGCGTGGTCGCAAGTCCACGGTCTATCCCAGTCTGCCGAGGCCCACAGCGCCAGCACGGGCAAAGACGGCAAAGACACACCGATGAAGAGCAAAGTGAGCGCAACAGGATCAATCTGAATCCCTCTCAGCGTTGATACCACATCCGTATCCTCGCTCATGATCGCAGCGCCAGTGGTGAAGACGAAGAGTTCCAGCGAAAAGAAGAGGCACCACCAGCTGCCCGCGGCGACAAGGACCGGCAGGCTTCCGAGCCACGCGAAACCCGCATGAATGATGCAGAAAATAAAACCATCAGGCGGGGCCCCTCCTGTGGCGGCCATTCCCACGATGTAGAGCCCGAAGGCGAGGCCGGGAAGTGCGGCAACCGCCAGAGGCCAAGAGATGGGCAGGAGCGAGTCCGTGGACAGCAGCCAAGAAACCCAAAGGCCGCCCCAGCTCCAGGCCAAGCTCCTTCCAGCAGCCTTTCGGGCCTCAGCAACTGTGGGAGGGATTGTCTCAGGCTTCCAAGGCTTCTCAGGAAAAATGGTGCTGACGCTACATACCTTTATCTTGAATGTTGAGCCTTTGGCCCGGCCTGAGCCCTCCTTTCACGAGCTTCCTCGTCACTTTCTCCCACATGCACGTCGCCTTCTGCTCGAGGCTCCTGCGCTGCCATGGCCACCCCGACGGCGCAGAGTCCCAGGCCCGGAAGTTGGAGGGCCAGCTGCCACCAGGCCAAGTTGCCCAGAGAGGGTAGCGCCGAAAGCCAGAGCCACAGCAGGGTGGCTGGCAGCAGCAGCCGCTTGTCGCTCACTTTTCTCACATATACAGCAAGCCAAAGGGCCCAGCAGCCGGCTGCGAAGACGAGCTGCGCGGTGACGGGGAGCAGGACGGGCAGCACTGTCAGCCACATCGTCACCACGCCCATGACCAGCAGGAGCCAGCCGCACTTTTTCCAGGACTCGCCTGCAGCAAATTTAACCAGGGCTCCTCACCAAGAGGCATGCGGTGCACAGCTCAGCGTTACAGCAGGCTCGAGGTTTCACTCAAACGGTGCACCTGGCGTCAGGTCCACGTTCGAGCCTTCCTCCGGGTCCGCGCGCGAGAGCCGGGAGTAGCGTGCCTTGGTGGCGTCGCGGCTCTGCTGGCCGTGCCACGAGCTCAAAAACAGCAGCTCCCAACCACCCGCTCCATTCCCTTTCAGGACAACTGTATAGCCACGCAAGAAAGCTTGCGCGTGCCATGTTCCCCAAACGAACACTACCAGCACGTCTGACCAAGGCGCATCCGCACGCCTGCAGGCTGTGCAAAGGCAGCAACGGTTTGGGAAACGACTGAGTCGATGCTTTACTCTTCCATGTGCCTGCCTCTCCCGGCAAAAAAAATGGACGCCGGCAGCCACGGAGAGCAGGCCGGGTAGTAGCAGAAGCCATTTCCAGAGCAGGCCCTGGGCGGCGTTCCGGCTTTGCCAAAGCTTCCCTCCCTAGCCGAACGGTCTATCGGTCTATCATAAGGGTTTAAGGGTCTATACGCGAGACACTAGGCAATTTGGCTCCTAAACTCTTAATGGCAGATAAACACCAGATGGGCTTTCAGTTCAACAATCGACTGACGATGATGCTGGTGGTGATGATGTTCAAGATCTTGCTGCTGGAATGCTGGCAATCATGGCGATGATATCGGGAGTAACAAGTTTTGTATCGCAATTAACGTGTATTCTTGGAAAGACAGTTTCGTCAGTAATGGGGTGCTTGCTGGGGATATGTTGAAGGGCGAGGTGTTGCTGTGTTGCCGGCGGATACTGACATACTACAAGTATGAAGAGCTGGATGACTGGATTCAGCACGTCTTGTGCTGGAATGTGGTCGCAAGCTGGCAGCAGATGTTCAACTTCCCTTCTTGTGGTCTTGACAAGCAGATGCACTCACGGACCCAACACATACCCTCAAAGCAGGTATCGGAACAGAGAAGGAATCATTTTGAGGGAGTTCGGAAGAACGGAGACTGGAGTAGGTCATATTCTGCGTGCTACGAAAGGTCTTCGAGTCTGGTTTTTCCGTTGGAACGATACAGACGATTTGCCGCATGTTGAGAGAAGCCAACCTCATGGCTAGAGACAGGTCTTGCTTTTAGCACCACCCCCCCCCCTGTTGTCTTAGCCTGCACTCAGGACCAGCCTCAACTATGCAGCTTCCTATCGGAGCAAAGCGTATCACTACGCAAAAACCAATTCGTTCACCCCAACAATCTGCGTCGGTGCCAGCAGGTCACATCGTCGAGGAAAGGTACCACCGCCAACCACAACCAGAGCAGGGCGCCCTGGACCAGGATCGATTTGTCACCGCCTTTGCCCACGTCCCTGGCCACCAGCAACCCGAGCAAGCAGCCAGGAGCGGCCAAAGCCAGGAGCTTCGTCGTCACTGGCAAGGCCACCAAGAGTGTGAGCAGCCAAGTCAAGACAAAGCCCGAGACCAGCAGAAGCCATCCGCGGTCCCCGCATGCGTCGCCTGGCAACACAGCGAACACAGCGGCGGAAGCTCGAAACGAATCGACCTGCCAGCTTTGCATTCAAGCTTTCACCAACGCCCGTGCCTCGTTGGCCATCACCCAAATCTCCATCTGAGGGTCGAGAGCCATCCTCAGCTTCAACTCTGGAGTTCAAGCGAGGAAGCATCTGCAGATATCGCAGTCTTCAACAGGACCAACACAGAGACCTCCGTCCAACATCTGTGGCACAAGAGCCTCGCAAGAAGTCGCAAGCGAGCATTTGACCCTGCACGGCATGCAAGCCCAGACCGACACTAACATGTGACAGCATTGCACGTAATTATCACCAGAATTACATGAGGTGAGGTCGAAAGGCGTTGCAGAGCAGGTAGATGCCGGCAGCCACGAGGAGCAGCCCAAACAGTGGGAGCCACCACCACACCATGGCCTGCGAGCAGCAATCTGCACACAATCGCTTCTCCTGCAGCCTCTCTCAAAGCTGCTTGGACACATGTCAACATGCGAAGTGGTAGGGCGCACATTCGGAGCATGTCACAACAGCAGAGAACCATTACGCTGCAACCGCATGTACTGGAAAGGGGCGCACGCTGTCGAAATCCCAGCTGGGCCCCGAGGGCCGCCGTCACCGGCCTGGCAGGCTTTTGTGCCGAGCTCGCATGAAGGAAGTGTTGAGCCTGTTTGTTTAATTAAAAACAGACTTGCATGAAGGAAGTTTTGAGTCCTGTGGAGGCAGGATGGCTGTGGGCTTTGGCAGCTCGGCTCGGCTAAGCCTTCGGCATCGAACGGATACGTTCCGAAGTGTCTTTGCCAGTGACCGCAGCAGAGCCTTTCGGGAAACCTTTTCCTTCCGAAGCTAAGGTGCAACATTCAACAGAACTGTGCAACGGGGCTTGCATCGTGGCTGCTCTGCAGAGCTCTTCTCAGAGACATCTGCATGCAGCCCCCCCCCAGAATCCCTCAACACTCTCCAGGTGTGCCTCTCCTTCCGGCGATAGGCAGCGAAAGGCGGCGAAAGCTATGATGGGAATGAATTCTGTGCACGGGCGTGTTGTAAGAGCTCTGTGGCCTACAGAAGAGGGGGCATTAGCTGAGAATCACGAACATCCCATGCCTCTGAGAAGACACTGCTGCCTTCATCTATCAGAATGCACATGAAGACTATTTGTTATTCGCCATTCTGTGCAAAATCATAGTTGGATTGAGAGCCTGTCTACACTCTGCTGTCGTATCGCTTGTGGCTGGAACCTGCCGCTCGCAAAACCTACCTAAACCCTCTCCATTCACGATGTCTTCAACCACACTCCAGATTAAGACCCTTCATCTCCGCATGACTAGAGCTTGCTTGTAAGCCCCCCTTATGGTGATTCAACATGAATGCATGCCCGGGCTGGGGCTGTCAGTCAGGGAATCGAGAGGACGTCTGCCAACACGCAACTGATGAGATGCTCGATTCTTGATGTATTCCTCAGTCCAGCAAGCCTTCGAAGTTCCCTAAACCTGTAGGATGATGTGCAAGCGTGTGCAAGTGCGTGTAGCTGCGTGTAGCTGTGCGTAGGTGTGTGCAGGTGTGT